AAAAAAAAAAAGACGTGTATGTTCAAAGACCTTCTTATTTCTTTCATCTTAGATAGTCGTCCACAGCGCGAGCGACATTAAAACCGCAGTGGATTTCGAGAACGCATGGGCAAGGGAACGAAAGTGGTTTCTCTCTCACTCCACGCTTGTTCTCGCTTGTTCGCTTTGCGCCAAATGTCAATCACTTTCGCTTTGGAGCTCTCTCATAAGGAGAAGAAATGCGGAAATGGAGGATGGACTTGAATTAGTCAGTTAAAGCCACAATAACCAATGTATATTCTCGTGCACCAACAATTGATAACGATTAAGGCAACAAGATTGTAAGACTTCACCTTAATGACAACACTTGTCTGACTTCTGTGGGAGTAAGTCTCCACGTCATTGGTCCTGAGTTTGGACCCCAGTAATCCATTATCTCGCCCACCTATTAAAAGAGAAATTAATGATCGTAAGGGTAAAACTTGCGACAGAAAAAAAATCACTTCTTCATCGGCTGAATCATGTTTAAATAATTATCACAGCAATGCAAATGCCAGCAGATGTTTTTTTTTTTTTTTTTTATTTGGATTTATTACGAACCAACATAAAGACCAGCTCCCAGTTGTCTTGTTAGCTCAGTTGGTAGAGCACTGCACCGGTATAGCAGAGGTCATAGGTTCGAATCCCGTACAGGCCTGAATTTTTTTCAGGCCTTATTTTCACTACTGCTTAAGTAGTATTCATTCTGAGAAGATCGATCTCACACTAAGATTTTTTGATCATTGGTTGGATTGTTAATTTGCATTCTCAACTGAAAAAATCTTAACAATTTTCAGATATATTTCCGTGGCATTGAAAGCCTCGCAGCTCATTGAAGCAGTGACTAGTCGAAAAAGATTGCAAGTCTGGATGTTTCCACCTTCCAAGCTACATTTATGAGAGCTCACAACTTTTCTGTGCGTTTGGGCATGTTTAAGCGTATTCTATTGCCAAATGGTGGCTATTGTTTATGGACACATGATCACCTTCTCCAAATTGAGGACAGTGGCAATCTGTGTGAGTCTGGCAAACTTGTCTCGTATTGTCCACTGAGTGACAGCTGTCAGGTAACCAACCAATGAACGTAGTTCCTTATCAAACTGAAGGCCACCCAGCTAATTCGTAAAAATGAAACAAGAGATTAGATTAATTTCGCGAAAGTTTCAGTCGCTGACAGTTAGTTCAATATTTGTCTTTAAACTACAATTTATTCTCCATAATTCTTATTAATTTTGAGAAAAAACTACCTTCAAGCGCAAAATCGCACCACTGTTTCTTGTGCCATATAAATTCCTTTGACACTGGGAGACAAATCGCCCCGACAGGTCGCGGGAACAAAATGTTTAAGGAGAAAACAAAATTTTCCTAAGTCTAAAATCAGAAAAAAAGAAATTTACAGACTGAAAGCGTCGGATCAGATAACATTACAGTTGAACAATTCAATTGCCATCTATTTACTGGGCTTAGTCTCGTTGAGGTTTCGCTGTGTGGTGAGGATCGCGGGCTCACCTAAAACACCTTCAACTGGATATTGAGCCCTCCTATCGACTGCAAAACTTACTCTGTTAAAACTTGCTTTCATGACCGACGTTTCCAGTTGAGTTGTTATTTCAGTGGCTGCCATGCTTACTAAAGAGTCATAGTTGGAAGGTGTCAGTGGACCCTGCGTGCCAAAATAGTAAATTAGTTAACAAGTTTAACATAATCCAAGTGTTTTCCACGTGCGAGGTATGCAGTGGCCTGACTGTAAGCACGCTGGACTGTGAATCGAGACGTCCGCGTCTTAAGCGAGACTCTCACTAGGAGTATAACTGGGTACCAGGGAACAGCGAGGGATACGAGACAGGGGTGGGTATTACCCCCCACGGACTAACAGTCCTCCTAGGAGCTAAAGGATATCTCTGGTTGCTTCAAGCGATGGAGGCCTGGATAAATTCCAGCTGTATGGGCTCTCCGGCTTATAATCTTAATCTACCTTTTACCCTACTTTTAAGGAACACATCCAAAAAGTTTGCGATTTCATTGCCCAGTCAGAATAAGGATTCAACTTCAGCTTGACGTTTCGAGGTATTATAATCAAAACCACATTCTCAAAACCCGCCTGTGAATGGCAAACCTTTGGGTCACACAAGTTGAGAATGACAAATAACAAAGTAATTAAATGGGTCAATTTTAAGGTTTAAATGATTGTATTACCCATGATCACTCACTCTCCTTGCAGCCTTAATTCCTACTTAAACCCCCAGATAAGAAAGTTAACGAGGCCGCTCACAAAGCGGTACAATTATACCTTAAAAGATGTTAAGATTGAGTCTAAACTTGTGATGAAATTCTGAACAAATGGATCATTCACTTCATAGAAAGCAAATTCTTCCTGGAGGGATGAAAAATAAATAAATAAGAATTACATACATTTATGCAGAAATACGTAACTGTCTTTTTTCATAACTTTGTTGTTCATGTGGCTGTTCTCAGAAGCTAGCTGAATCGTCACGAGAAAAGCCTGAGAGCGACTTTGATCAGACCAGCAACTCGTTAATTGTCCATAATGTCAGTGGCTACTTCAAGAAAGAAGTCAATTGATTCAAAGTTGAGCAAATGTCACTTCAGGCTACAGAAACACACTGATCCCATAAGCTGACTTTACTCCGTCGCAACCACTATACAACTATTCCAGTTAGATGCTTTCGAGAGATTACTACTGGTTGTATATATGTATTTGTATCTTTTTAGAAACTGAGAAAAGTGGGCTGTTTTGATATATGATCACGGATATTAGATGGAATTATTTATAGGATCTGGGATTAAGAAACAATTGTAAGAAGTAAAAGACATATATTGTTAAAAAGTGATTCATTATTTGATTGAATTTGAAAGAAATGATTACCTCAGATATGTTATGGCTTGTTGAATTGAATCCATCAATAAGTGGTTTTAACCTCGGTATAACAGCAGTGGAACACAACTGATATATTCCACCCTAAAATTGAACAAATTAAAAAAAAAAAAAAAAAAGGCTTCATTAAGCGCATATAGCTGTAGTACAAAGTAATGATGAATATAAATGGAGTATATTTAATGCCATTGACAGGCTAGCACAAGGAAAGTTGCATACTTGAAGTAAATCCTTGAAAATATTTGATGTGTTCATCAAGTCTGAAAGACAGCTCTGAAAAGATAACAAACCGCTATGGTTACAACATTGCAAGTCTATGTAGTTTATTCAGAAAACAATTCCAATGAGTCAAAGCAGGATTTTTGTTGATGACTAACAATTGCGTCCCATGATCTTATTAGTAATTCTCCTTACCGTCTAACATTTAACAATTATTCGCCTCAGGCGAGGTGAATATCGTCAAATAATATCTTCGAGACAAAGTCGAGGGGATTATTCGACAATATTCACCGACCCTGAGGCGAATAATTGTTTTAGTATAATTTCAGAGTTGAACAACAGAGAAATTTCTAAAATTATAACATTTTAGTAACAATTATTAACATTTTATTTTAACATTTTATATATAAACCATGTGGAGCGGTTTATATAGCGTCATATAAGGAACCGCTCGACCAATCAGATTGCTGGAAACTCTTTGCTCAGCTCTGAAATTATACTAAGCAACTCTTATGATGCTAGTTTGGAGAATTTGGTATTGGATCAACTAATAGTCCCCTTATTGATATTTTTCTGTATTCTCATCACTTGTCTGCTTGATATTGTATTGATATTGTAAAGAGAAATTCTGTCTTGATCACTCATGGGAGTCAAAGTGTTAATGAGCTGTGCTCTCCTCTGTAAGCACACACAAAAGGAAAGTGGACTTCAAGTTTTATATGCCTTGTGAAGCCAGTCGATTTTGGTTCAAGCCAAGAGTGGTACAAAATATGAGCACTTGCCTCTAATTTCAGTTTAGCAGCATCTCCAAAAGCCAAGTTCCTGTCACATTCGATCTGAGAAGCAAATAGTTTGGAAACACTAAATAATCAACACAAGTTAACTGAATGTCAATCACTGGTCCCTCGTAGCCCCTTTCTCTGCCCTTGCAAGTTTATCAGGTTCTTCTTACATTTTAAACACTGCTTGTCTTACTGAGGAACATGAACGTAAGGGGAGTGGTACAATTATGCGTTATTAAGCAAGCTTTTTCTGTCGGGGTGGTTGAATATCACCCAAATTCTTTTTCTCTGCTTTCAAAGACCTAGAGAAAGTTGAAGTTCATAAAAACGCATAAGAGAAAAAGGCAAACATTCCATCATCTTGACCTAACAAGCTTGCAGTTGTTAAATTAATTCAAGAAACTCGTTGTGGTTTATGTTTTGCCTGTTTTAAGTGTTCATTGTTGCCAAAACTGCTAGAATAGTTTTTTCTTGTCAGAGTATTCAGTTGCCTAGAGTTATGAATAAATCAATCCGCCTCGAAGCACTCGTTTTCATTTTGCAGGATCAAAAGGTATACCAGAGAGGGTCACATGCGCCGATTTCACTTGCTTAGGTAGTCAATCACAGGATTCGCATCCTCTAGCCCACTTGCCAGAAAACAATTTACATGAAAGTTTGAAATTTTAAATCTTGTGCCTCATCAACAGTACTATCTGATCTACCAGAGATTAAATTTTAAGCATATGACAACGATAACAACATTAAAGGGCTGACCATTACCACTGAACATTTCAGTTATAATTTTACCTCAAGATCTTTCTTCAGCTTTTGAATGTTGTTGCAGAGAGACAGAGACAGAGAGACAGAGAGACAGAGAGAGAGAGAGACACAGCGAGAGAGAGAGACAAAGAGACAGAGAGAGAGAGACAAAGAGAGAGANTTACTGCTGTACAATACACACATCCTCGGAGACCCAGGGGCTGTGAGTCGATTTCAAGTTAAGGGCAGAAGAGCCCCTGGGGACATTGTCTTACAAGACTAGTTCCAAACGGTCGCAGTCGTTCTGGCATCTGATTGGTGCCAGAAAATCTTTGTGTTTTTCTGCCCAATCAGAGTGAAGTGTCCTTTGGAGTCCTTTCGTGTGTTTTAACACGCACATATACAACAAGCTCTGTTGCTAGCTATGTTTGTTTGGGCCGTGCGACGAAGCTTTGCCCGAGTTGAAAAGTTTCAGTCTCAGCACCCAATATAAGAGAAATCGATCAGATTGTCCGCGAAATCTTACCGGAAAATTATACAGAATACTTTCGCACGTATCACAAGAGAACGTGTTTAAAAGTTTGCGAGGTTCGTGTAAAACATAATGGTTGCAGGCATTGATATGTGGTTTTAAACGTTAGATGAGCTGTAAGCCTAAATCTTTCAAGATTTTTTGTACAATTTGTTGCGACTGAAGCCTTTCCAATACCGTGAAGTTATTTCGTCGCACGGGCCACGCAGGTATGTCAAGCAACTGGCGCTTACGCTTACGTAGCTTTCTGTGCGCGCCAAATTCTAATCGTTGCTTTGTAGTACAGTCTTTCGCAATATGGCCAAGGTTGCAGAGAACGTTAAGTACGTGGACGACCTCCAGCAAGCGCTTAAAGAAAGCGTAGCTGTGTTTCCGATTAGCTAATTAAAATCTAAACAAAAACTAATCATCGAGAACATCGTGGAAAGGAGAGATGTTTCGGACAGTTACCGAAGGGGTTTGGAAAAAGTTTAATCTTTCAACTGCCGTGTACAGTGTTCAAATTCTTGAGCTCGAAAGGCCACGGATTCTCTTCTAGTCCCTTGGTCATTGTCATTTCACCTCCTTTGTCGATTGTTGAAGACCAAGTTAAATACCTTTGATCATTGGAAATCGATGCTGCTTTCATTGGGGAAAACAAATCCAAAGACCAACAAATATTAGATGGAAAGGGCGGGCTTCCTTTATTGTAACTGTCAGCTTAGTACAGGGTTATCTACCCACATCTAATAACCAAAAGTTTCCGCGTTTAGCTTTTTTTTTTGTTCAAGCGAAGATTACATTAGATTTTGGCCGGGCGTGCACAAAAAGTTGCGTAAGCGCCAGTTGCTCGACATACCTGCGTGGCCCGTGCGACGAAATAGCTTCACGGGATTGGAAAAGTTTCAGTTACAGCAAATTACACTAAAACTCTCGAGAGATTTAGGCTTACATCTCATTTACGTTTAAAGCGACATATCAATGCTTGCAACTTTTAAACACTTTCTCTTGTGATACCTACGAAAGTATTCAGTATCATTTCTGGTAAGATTTCGCGGACAATCTGATCGCTTTCTCTTAAATTGTGTGCTGAGACTGAAACTTTTCACCTCGGGCAAAGCTTCGTCGCACGGCCCAAACAAACATAGCGACCAACAGAGCTTGTTATATATGTGCGTGTTAAAACACACGAAAGGACACTACAGGATTCTACAGGATTCCTAAAGATTCTTCGCGAAGAAAAGCTTGGATTCAACGAATTAGACGCGAACACTGGGAGCCTTCTGACAATACTCGCTTGTGTTCTGCACACTTGTTGGTGGAGTTAAATCTGATGATTTACAAAGTAAATCATACACTCCATCAATTTTCTGTCACAGCCACAATCTCCAGACGCCTAGGAGAAGTAGAAACAGTCTCAAAACAATCGAAAACGATGAAAACATTCCACAAAAGCCAAAACGAAGGAGGCTTGTACAGGTAAGCTTTCTTGAAGTATATTCGAAAGTATATGTGCCATAACCCAATCTAAAACACGACCTATACATATTCAAGCATG